GCATGCAGGTACATGGAATTCACACATACGATACTGCAGCATCTGTCACGCATGCAGGTACATGGAGCAGACAGCTGAACTAACACAACTGGGTGGAGCTTGGGTGAGGAGCTGAGGTTGGAGACAAGAATTTGGGATCAGCATGTAAATAATAGCTTAAGCTATAAAAGTAGATTGTTATCATTCAAGGTAAATGTAAGATGATAATAGAAATGCTAAGGGAACTCTAGAACACTTAGTTATACAATAGAAGAACAGAGAAATTAGGAGAAAATATTTTTAAAGACAAGGCTGTGAATGTCGAAAACGATATTTTTGAGGAGGAGGTATACTTTCAAGTGTGTATAGATAGTTAAGAAGTAGAGTGACTATTAAAATGAGGTTATTGATTGTGGCTAGTAGGCCAGTGGCCTCATAAAAGTTTAAGAGAAGAAACGGTGGTCAATTGAAAAGGGAATGAGGTATTGACACATGAACAGATGACTGCATCCATGAAGTCGTCCTCGATCGACTGGAGTTGAGGAAAGCTGTAAACTCAGACTATTCTTTTCGGGATACAACAGGAAAGGAAAGAGAAAGACAAGGCAACGGTTTAAGAGCCAGAACTGAGAAAAAGGAATTTTAGGATATTATCCAAAAAACCAAACCCATTGCCAATAGCAATCCTAAAAACCATTTTGAGAGGGGTTGAAACTCTGAGAGAGTCTAGATAACTTACTGGGGAGCGGAAAAGGAAAAAAATAGAAAAAAGACAGAACACAGGTTCTGAAAGAAGAAAGTTAAGGAGCAAAATAAAAGATCTTAGCTTTGGAAGTGAGTAGTGGAACGTCTTCCTCTAAGACAGAAGAGAAGCTGGTGAGCAGTAAAGAGAGAAGGGCAGTGTGTATGATGGCTCAAAGGGGAGAAAAGGATCAGTGTCTAATACAAGGTTGGGAAGCAGGCAATAGGATGTGGAGAAGTTTCAATGAGCTTCTAGTGGGGAGGGGGAGGTGTCAAAAGGAAGTGGTGAGAAATTAAATAGTTACCACGCTGAGGGTAAAGCACTTACTGTTGTGATGAAGTTGATCAACTTGTAAATCCTTTCCAGAATGTGCAATAGTAGGAATATACTACATGCATGTTAGGGTTCCGATTGCAAAAGGCGCTGCAGAGGCAGGCCAAAAGGAGGAATGCAATACTGGGAGCTGCCGGCAGGAGAAGTTTTAAAATGACTACTAAAGAATGAAGAAAAAGATGGAAGGAAATAAAGTGAGGAGCTGGCTGGAAGACAAGAAGACCGGAGAAGAGTCTAAGCATTGAAGGCTGGAGAGCAGGTTTTGTGAGAAAGGAAGAGGAAGGGTTTTTGGTCAAAGAGGAACATTTCAGAGGGCCTTTCTAGATCAAGGTCCAAGTCCATCTTAAACCTCTACAAAACAAACTGGAAAATGCAAAATCTATGTAGTCAGTTGGCTACATTGAACACTGTTAAACCAACTTAAAAAAAAGGCTTTATTGAAATATAAATCACCCATGTTAGCATTGCTTAACCATGCTATTTTTTCTGTATTTCCCTATTAAAAATATTTGAAAATGTAGCAAACACTTTTGTCCACAGCGCTGTTCACATTTTATAATTTATATAAACAATCTCTATAAATGAAATTACTGAACGAAAATATATGAACACCACACTCTTGAGTAATATTATCTACAGTGCCTTTCAATAAGATTATCACAAGGAAGATAGTATATTACTCATCCAGACTTTTACCACTTTAATTATATATTACATTAAGTTTTAAGTAAAAATACGGGAATACATAATGTTTTGTAACATGCCCTATTATGTAATGGAATTAAAAAACATATTTCTATGTCAATATATATTGACCTACCTTATTTTTAAATAATTACATAGTAATCCACTTATTTCATCAACTTTCCTACTAAACTATTTCTACTTACTATACAAATACTGCTACAATGAACATCTTTATAGCACATTGTTACACAACTGCCTGATTATTTACTTGTGAAACATTTTATCTGAGGGAAATGGCTGTTACAGAGGTTTTTAAACAGTCTTTTGAAATATACTCCAGACTGCTCTGGAGAAAATTGGCACAAAAGCTTAGGAAGAAAGGTTGGCGATTTGAACCCACCTAGAAAGGCCAATGGGGCGTACCTGGGGCCACCACAAGTCAGAATCAGCCCAGCGGCCGCTAACAGCAACCACAACCGAACTGCTACACAGAAAAGGGGAAGCAATTAATATTCCCAACTGTAGAATGAGGTGGTTTGACCAATACATATTACCTTTGTAATGTTCACCATCTTACAAAGGGAAATGGCAACTTATTTATTTGTATTATAAAAATGGTAAGACTCTTCATTTACATTTATGTATCTGCCTGTAAAAACTTCTCTTTCTATTTCTGACCATTTTGAAAAATCTTTTGTCTAGATCTGTAAGTCAAGAAGTATTACTACAAATACAGAAACGTTTTATTCAACGAAAATATCAAGAAATGAAGCTATGCACCATCCAGGTCTCTAGACTTCCAAAAGCGGCGTTTCCATCTCTCTACCCCTTCCCTGCAGAACTCACTGCTCTGTCATTGGTACACCACATCAAATGGTAGTTTAGATGCCTGAGCGACTCAAATTGTTTGAGTGCTGTGAACGAAATGTCCAAAGAAATTCTCAAAAGGCAGTTCCTGCTACCCTTAAAAAATGAGCAGGAACATTGTTGTGATGGGAAAATTTCTTTGACAGTTGTCCTAGCCTTTTTCTCACCAACGCAGTTTTGTTTTTTTAAAACTTCTTCAGAATAAGCTCCTGTGATCATCCTGTGCCCTTTGAGGAAATCTATCCAATTTACTACCCCTTTGGGGCCCCAAAAGACAGCCACCATATCGCCTGAGCTGACCTTTCTACCTTGACTTTAACTGGAAGCACTGCTTTATGGGGCCGTAAGGAGACTAGAACAAGTGTTACTGAGAACATGTCTGCAGCTATTCACTGATTACGGAGACAGGTTTAAACATGTTTTATTTGGAATAAACCTGTGCTACGTCTGAACTAGAACCCTAGAAACAATGCCTTTTGACTTACTCTAATTGTATTTAATCATGTTTGACTGAATGTTTATTAGACGTGTTTTTATTTGAGTTTATCTTTTCATTTTGTTTTATGTACTAGGATTAAAAAAAAATCAAATCTATCCATCTTTTCCTTTGGTAGTGGAAGCGTGGAGGGGAAAAAAAATTCTTAATGCAAAAGGATGGTCTGTATTCTGCGCTCTACCTACATTTTGTCAGCTACTGTTGAGTCAGTCTATGACTCAAGTGCGATGAAGCAGTTCTACCAGGAACACCTGGGTTTGAACTGACTCAATGACAACACCCTTCAGAGAGGCAGCTTGTCCTGTCTTTGGCGTGTCACTGCTTGGGTTCCAAATGGCAACCTTCAGGTTGAAAGCTGATGGCAAACCACTTCCCCGAGGTTCTGCTACAGATATTGGCTGTTTGATAGCTACTTACTTTGCTACTTGTAAAGGGATTAAGCTGTTGCTAGGGGCATCACGGCAGTTCTGACTCCCAGGGACCCTGTGCACAACAGAACAAGACCCTGCCTGGTCCCGTACCGTCTGCACAATTGCTGCTACATTTGAGCCTATGGCTGCTCATAGACTCAAAGTTGAAAAGTATACTTACTATTCCAGAACTAAGATCATTTCTGATGGCGTTTCATAGACTTCATGTAAATTAATGACCCAAGGATTGTCCTGTGCTAGTTCAAGAACAGCGATCTCATGAATTATTTCCATCCGACAATCTTGGCCTTTTCTTCTTTTTCTCATGAACTTTGCAGCAAATTCTTTCCCAGAGTCTTTCTTTATACATTTCCTCACCACTGCAAATTTTCCCCTAGAATGAAATAAAAATATGCATTGTTAAAGTTGATGGCTTTCCAGAGATGGTAAATCTTAATAAAATGTCTGACTGCCCATTGGTGGAGATTTATATTTAGATCACATTTCATCACAAACGTAGAAAAACCACGTAGAAGGTTATATAGGAGCGACCTACTATTTGGAAATCAAAATGTTCACTCTTCTGAAATAGAAAAATAACTATATTAAAGTTAATATAGTTTGTAGTTATGCATAAATGGCATAATAACCCTAGTGCTGTAGTAGGTTCAACGTGGGGCTGCTAACTGTGCAGTGCCTCTTACAGGATTCAAGCCTACCTCTGTCTTGGTTTCAGGGCTCAGACCCTCGATCAACGCATTACCCTGACTCCTTTGTTTCACTTGCTGGTGGCTCAGTGTTTAGTAGTGGTTATGCACTGGGCTGCTAACAGCAAGGTTAGCAGTTTGAATCTACCAGCCACTTCATGGGAGAAAGTCAGGCTTTTTTCTGGAAAGGAGTTTCAATGTCAGAAACCCATAGGGTAGTTCTACCTGATCCTATAGAGTGGCTATGAGTTGGAACTGACTAAATGGTAGTGAACTTGGAGATATATTTAAAAATGTAAAAAAACCATTTTGCATTTATAAAATTCACTTGGCTTCTTCCTAGAAAATGGGTTACCAGAGGTTCCTAGTAAAATGAATTTTATTATTATTCATTTACTTGAAAAACAAGATTATCTTCCAAAAAAGATAAAAGTTGTTCTCATTTATGATCTCATTTCAACTATAAGATCAACTATGAATATCTAATTTTCTTATAGATCTGATATCATTATATCGTTTATTATTTTAATACACTCAAACTCCGAATGCACTGCTATAGAGTTGATCCTGACGCACTTTAGGTTTCCCAGATGTTCCCTCCTCATGAGAGTAGAAAATCTCACCCTTCTCCCGTGGAGCAGCTGGTGATTTCAAGCTGCTAATCTTGTGCTTGGCCGCCCCATTATGCTCCCAACAAGTGAAACAGAGGAATCAGTATAGTGTATTGATCAAGGGTTGAATTTGAAAATAAGCTGAGCAAATTAAATTGGGCTCTGAAATTAAGACAGATGTGGACCTGAATCCTGTAAGTGGCTCTTTGGCTTACTGGACACATACCCTTGGGCAATTTATTAACCACATTAAGTTTCATTATCCTTATCCGTAAAATAACACAAACGGCGTCTATTCGGGGTTATTTGGAGAATTAATGTGCATGGTACATGGCAATTGCTAAGCCAGCCACTTGCCACATGGCTAGTGCTCAATACAGTGTTATTCACACACACCATTAAGTGGTGATAGTGATCACTCACAAAAGACTCACTGAGTCCTTAAGTTGGAAGGCAGCTTAGAAATCCTATCATTTTTTAACCTAATGCCAAATGCCCAAATGTCTTCTAATTGTAAGGTAGTCTTTTCCATTACCAGAGGTATATTTTCATTACATGCCTAAGCCTCTAAATTCAGTTTGTTGGGTCACATTCTGTGCCGTTCACTGAGTGGTACTGAGCAGACCCATTTACTTCCACAGTCAGTCTCTCAGATAACTGATAGACAGATACCGTCACTGTAGTCTGTTTCAGGTGCCCTGGTGCCACAGTGGTTACGCATTTAAACCATAGCTGCTCCGGGGAAGAAAGACAAAGCTTGCTACTTGCGTAGAATTGGAGACTACAGACCGTGGGGCAGCTCTACCTGGTCCTATAGGCTTGCTATGAGTCAGAATCAAATCCATGGCAATGAGTTTGGTTTGGTATCACGGTGTGTTAAGGAAACTGGGTGGTGTTACGCGATTAGGCAGCTAACCACAGGTTAGCAGTTCAAATCTGCCAGCCCAGTTCCACAGGAGAAAGTTGAGGCTGTCTGCTCCCATAAGAATCTATAGCCTCAGTAATCCTATATAGGGTCACTATGGGTTGGAATCGACTATGCCAGTGGAGTTTCAAACATCATGATCTATTAAGTGTCACTGCCTCTTCCTTTTCCTAATTAATTATTGTTCCTCAGACTCCTAAGTTTTCTCAACCCCTTCTTGTATGGCTCACCAAAACCACACCTGAAATCCGGCAGCCAAATCTGAAGCACATGTACTGGCATTGCTATTTTTTTCAATAAAGTTTTACGGTAACTTAACCTTTCTCATAAATTTAGTATTTTAGCCACCATGGGTGACTTTGTTATTCTCTCACTGAATTTTCTTCTAACCTCTGTGTCTCGTTTGCTTAACTGCCAATGGCTGGACTGCTATCTTTCATCACCACTACTGAAATTCCATCCATTCTCTAAGACTCAGCTCAAATGCAATTTTCCCCGTAATATCTTTCCCTGTTACGTTAGTCTTCACCTGCAGCATGCCATTTTGCCTATAAGGGGAACAGTGACTGACTTTGTACATTTGGGAATAACTTCCACAGTGCATGATAGGGGCAGGTAGGGCTTTAAATGTTAGGCCTGGCTTCAAATGGCACCTTAGACAATTTAAAATTTACTTTTCTGAGTGTTGGATTCCCATCTCTAAAATGAGGCTGAGACCAAAGAAAATTGCTCAAATACATGGTGTTTTCAGTAGATGATGAGTCATGAGTAAATAGCAGTTATTTTTACTGGTTTTATCCCACTAGAGAGTGATGATATAATTAAATCATAAGGATTTGTACACATGATTCACAGAAGAATAGTAGAAGTGATCTAAAGTAAACTCCACTGAATGTATAGGAGCCTTGTGGGAAAACACGCTAACAGAGGAAGGCCCTGAGGACCAACTCCCATAAAGATTTCCGCCTGGAAACCTGCTGGGGCAGTCAGTCCTTCCCTGTTCTGTAAGATGGCTATCAGAGTCAACGTGAAGGTCACAAGAACTTGATGTATAAATTCCCTGAACACATATAGTTCCTTCTTACTTATCTGAACAGGCAAAGCAATGACTAGCTACTGTGCTTCCTAAGGCACTTGGTTTGATAGTTGGATATTAACTTTATTTATAGTTTTACAATAAGGCTGAGATTTGTTAAATTCTTAACTGAACATATTTTGAACTAAGGTTTTACTATAACCTTAAATGCCTCTACTTTTCAAAATGAAAACAATTAAGTGTCTACTTTGGAGCAGAAGCAATGCTTCCAATGCGAACTGCTGCTGCTGCTGCTAAACCACCAACATGGCCAATGACCAATTTTCTCTTTATCCCTCCCCAGATGACAGGCTATTCGAAACTGTTTGTAAACATAATTCTTAAAACTAATAACTAGCTGCCAAAAAACTCATTGCCGCTGAGTTGATGGTGATTCATAGTAATCCTATAGGACAGGGTAGATCTGGCCCCTGTGAGTTTCTGAAACTGTAATTCTTTATGGGGGTAGAAAACCCCATATTTCTCCTGCAAAGATCTGCCAAGAAATCTTAAATATTCCTGTGCTCAAACAAGGCAATTACTACAAAACTAGTATTATTTAACAAAGGGCCTTTATTTCCTTTTTTAAAAAAAATCATTTTATTAGGAGTTCATACAACTCATCACAATCCATACATATATCAATTGTGTAAAGCACATTTGTACATCCATTGCCCTCATCATTCTCAAAACATTTGCTCTCCACTTAAGCCCCTGACATCAGGTTCTCATTTTTTCCCCCTCCCTCCCCACTCCCCCCTCTACAACTTAGTGTATGACATATACCTAAGGAGTTCTAAGGTACAAAGTCTGAAAGCTATTACCTAAAGGCATCAGTCTTGGTAAAGGACACAAAGTTCCTGAAACATGCCTATTTCTGAGGCCCCTTCAACTTGAACTTTCTATTATTCTGATAAAATCCTGTCTTGTCCCTGATAACCCCAATTGCTCTGAAGAGAAAGAAAACAGGACCCTACTCTTTGGATGAGACTGAAGCTTGGTCGGCTAGGATTTGTTTTCATTTGGAAGCCATTAACGTATCGTCTCAAAAGTACAAGGGCAACTGGCTTTATTTCCAGATTATTGTGTGTGATACATCTGTGACATAGCGGGAGTGCTCTGCAAGTCACAATGCACACCCTCTTCCTGTTGGTTTTCTCATCTGAAAAATGGGGCTTTCCAGCAGCGTTGGCTGAGACTTACGTAATCCATGTAAAAGCACGGGTGAAACTGGAAACCCACGGCCATGCAGTCCCTCTGACTCACTGCCATCCTACATGGGGTTTCTAGACTGTACATCTTTGTGGGAGCAGAGGGTTTCCTCTTTCTCCCGGGGAGAGGCTGGTGGGTTTGAACTGCCAACCTTGTAGTAAGCAGTGTACTGCCTAGACTACAGGGGGACCAGGGATCATGGTAACACAATGAAGTATTATTCTAGCAGGGAACTCATAGTTCTCTCATTTTCTACCCCCCAAAGGAAAATTCAACTATGTTATAATATAAAATGATCTTAAAAGGGCTGAAAAAGAATTTTTTCCCCACACTGAACTGTACATGTGAGAATGGTTGAGATACGGTAGCAAACGTTTTTGTTACCTTAGTATTTACCACAGTAAAAAAGTATTAAAACATGAATTCCTAATATGATTGAACTATTGAATTACATGAAAATGTGTGCCAATAAAACTGTTTTTAAAAGTGAAAAAAAAATCTTTTTTCCTCTTAAAATTACAAATATGCCAAAATTTAAACAGTTGAGGGCCAACTAATAGAATTACATGCAAGGCAATTTTTTCAAGTGAAATTTATTATAGTTTTCAGTTTCTAAAAACACCCTGAACAATTCTCAAACCCAAGGTCATTCTTCAGTGCCTCTGTAATGCAATCATTAGTGCAGTTTACATTGGCAAATGTCCTGACTCAGAGAAAGGCAACCTGCCTGAGAAATAACAAGCCACAAGTTTTCAGCAATAAAAGAAAGTTTTACATCATACGGACTCGACTAGCAAAATGAAAAGAACCTGCCTTTTCTTAAAATGATCACCACATCCTGCCATACTTCTGGATTCGATACTAACCATTCAAAATTTTTCTTAGAATAGGCATCAAACTGAGTATTTTATTTTCCTGATAAGGTAAAATAATGGTTGCTCAGGAAAGAAATCAATCTGTATTTGAACAGCTAGCTCTTTACCTCCTTCCACGTTACTGCATACGAAAGAAAATGAATAGCTCTTCTGTTTTCCTTCTTGCATCAGTAAAATAGAATACAAGTTTTGTAAGTTCTCTAATAGTATGCGATTAATTCATTATGTCAGAAATGCAGCCAGAGTTAACAGTTGTAGAAACAGGCAACTTTTCTACCTTACCAGAGAAGGAATTGTGCATAAACATACTCAGGGATGTCAACACCATAACAAATGGGCAAATGTGGAACTCTTAAACAGTGACTGCTTGTAACACAAAACAGTGTCTACCCCCTGAGATGTCTAAATCATTCCTGAGTCTTTCCTGAGTTGGGAGTGTCTTGTTTTGTGTTTTTGCTTTTTGGTTACATGTAAAATAACACTTACTGAGTTACACAATGAATTACACTTATTGAGTATTCTCCTGGGCCAAGCACAACCTATAGAGGTATGTTTATTTAATTCTCTGAACAATTCTACAAGGCAATCAGTGGTTAGGTAATGTCCTCAAATCCATCTAAGTAGTAAGTAAAGAGCCGAGACAACCTCAGACTCTCTGACTCCAAAGCCCAAGTTCTTAAACACTGCATTAAAATCCCCTGTGAGGGAAAAAAAAGAGGACCAAACATACATTAGCTTTACTTTTTACACATTGGAGTTCTGATGTCAAGTAATCATCTAATTTGCATTGGCTTGCTGCTTTAGGATTTATTCCTTTTGTAAAGAGATATATGTATTAAAAGGACCTCACAATATAAAGCAAAACTAAAACCCTTATAAGCAAATGGCTGTTTTAATGGAGTTTCAAACAAAAGTTAAAAGGACCATTCCCGGAGGAATTAGAACCACAACACCTGGTAGAGGGCAAATCAGCTTTTCAGATGAAATCATTTGTTATAAAGTCTACAAGACAGTACTTATTACCTGAAATCATTTCAGCTTTGCATTACCAGTTTTCCTTTATATGGAATGAGTCTAAACAATCCAAGCAACCAATGTAAAGTCTCAGTTTTCCTTTATCAAGGGATTAGGGCTACTTCAAAATGTCTTCAGTCCACAAATTGGACCGTCTTGCTGGGCAGTAGACTCCCCCACGCTGGTGCTTTCCCAGCTGTATTTCAAAAAGGTGTGCACAAAATGCAATAATCAGTGCCTTGCTAATTGAAGAAAATCTTGTTCCTGAAAGGAGTTTTCACTTTCACTAACATTTTTTTTTTGGGGGGTGGTGGTGGTGTAAATTCAATATTTTAAGGTGGTGTCCCTATAAAACACTATTTCTATATATTACTTTAAAAGCTATAAAGCAGCTGCACTTTAGCCATTATTTTTAACCAGTGCCTTCTCCAAGACCCAAGCTGAACTCTCAAAATTATCTGGCCCAGTTCTTTGGTGGCGTTGGCAGTTTATGTGCTGCACAAGGTCGGCTGCTTCTCACACAAAATGAGACTATCTGCTCTCATAAAGATTCACAGCCTCAGAAACCCCAGACGTGCGGTTCCAGTCTGTGCTACTGGGTTGGCATTGATTACAGTGGCCCCTCCCCCATTACATTTGCAACCATGCCAGATGTTTACAAAGGCAGCTTACGTTTACTGAACGCTAAAGTCCAGAGGTACATGATGTATGGGCATGAAATCTTCGTAACAGTGCAGGGGACTCGGGGGCTGTCACTGCAGGGCTCTGTAGATAAGACGAGTGGGGCGGGGGAGATCCCCTTCAAAAGGCACATGGAGCAAGTGTGAGGTCATGTCAAAGCTGGTGTTTTTGACCACTTCTCCAAACTGTTCTCGAAGAGGGCGGGAGCCCCAAAGCACCTTATGAATCACCAAGCTAGCCCTCTGCAACGTCCGCCATGCTAAATGATCAAATGGCCTTTGATCGTTTTCAAAAAGAAGCCAACTTGTAAACCGGGGTGGGGGTGAGGGAGAAGGCAAGCTCAAGGTCCCCTACTCACTGCCACCCAGTCCACTCTGATTCATAAATAGAGGAACAGGGTAGAACTGCCCCTGTGGGTTTCCGAGACTAAATCTTTGCAGAGTAAAAGCCTCATCGTTCTCCGGAGGAGCGGCTGGTGGTTTCGAACTGCTGACCTTGAGGTGAGCAGCTAAGGCCCAGCTGGGTAGAAAAGGGAGGGGAGGGGGGAAGGCGCCCTTAATGATGCCAATTTGAACTTCGGGCTCAGGGACAGAAACCTTTTAGAATTAAAATAGCACAGCACTCGCAAAACCAAAATGATGAGGCCAGCAAAAGGCGGTTAACAAGTTAACACAGCTTCAGCGCAAAGGAAGCTGTCACCACCGGTGTGAAGATGTTATTAAAGTCACAGACGGCGACGGTAAAGCTCGAGAAGTTTAAGCCCCCCCCC